TTGTGTGGGACGGGGCCTGCGGGTGTCCAGCCCGCGCCCCGCCCTTTCAGCGTGGGGCGCTCCCCCTTCTGTGAGGGCCCCCGTTGTCGGTCCCCCCTTCTCTGTGGGGTTCCCCTCTTGGGGGCTCCCGAGCGGTCTGCGCCAGCTCCGCGTGAAAACGCGTCCCCCCCAAAGGCGTGGGGGTCACCGTGCTGGTTTGTGACTTCTCCCCTGCTCTCGGCCGCCCTGTGCAGCCCTCAGGAAGCAGGCGAGGCAGCTGGAGAACGAGCTGGACCTGAAGCTGGTCTCCTTCAGCAAACTCTGCACCAGCTACAGCAGCACCCGAGACGGAAGGCGCGACAGGTATAGGTACTAGCCCATTTCTTTATGTTCTAAACGCTGCTTGTGGTACTTGGTTCATTTTTATAATTTGCTTAATGCTCCCACCAGTGGCTTTTATGCTTAGCTTCTTAAGAAGCTCGTTTCTTGATGCTGTGACGCTGGGGTTGCATCAAGCACATCTTGATGCGATATTGAGTGATACTGGCACATGAGTCAGAAAGGTGTGTGGGCTGCAGTGGTGCATCGTGAGAGAGTGTGTGTCGCTAGGAGAAGCTGAATTTAAACTTCAGTTTGTAACTGTGGGGTTAGTGTGTGAACTAATGATAGGGCTTTCTGGTGCACGCTACATGGGCTTATTCTCCACTTTTTCTTGTATTAAACTAGCAGGAGGTTTTCAGGGACTTCAGTATTAGGGGAATTTAGTCTTACACCTCCCAGGTGGGCTGGTGTGGTATTTGTAATCCCTGGTTTAATGATAAGGGAACTGGAGCACTGAGCAGCTGTGACTGGTCCAAGGTTGCACAGGGAACTAGTCCTCTCTTCAGGAGGGGTAGCTGTTTCTTTCTGGCTTTCTCCTAAGATGAGTAGTAATAGCGAGAGCTATATATACATGTGTTTATATGTGTATATATATATGAACCAGATAAATACATATGTGTATGTATATGAATAGTTTCTGTTTGGTTTAGGCAGATTCATGTTTGACTGAAGAATTAATGTGATAAAACTTTTCAAGTCTTTCTAGCTTATGGGCCAGAGCTGAGGTCTTCCCTGCCGTTCCACAGCACTAATTATCAACTTCTCTGTCCCTGTGCGCAACCTTTAAAAACTGCCATTCTTTGCTTAATAACTGTGGGCCCCAACGCTGTGTATCAGTTGCAAGCGTGACTACTGTATGTATGTGTGTTGATATTTATTTGTCTAATTTGATGATTGAATCAATTTTGAACCTTTCCATGAATTTCTGGTTCTGGAAGCCTGAGAGACCCTCGAGAATGATCGTGTTACTCTTGAATCAGAGTCCTAGTCTCTCTCTTGTTTCCGGCTCTGTGCTGTTACTTGCCATGTAATCTGATTGCTTTAGTTATTTTTGCTGTCCTATGCAAAACTTACTGCTCTTACTCTAGTTATGGTGGATTACCAAAGCAATGAATAGTCTCTGAAAGGTATCAGTTGTCATACTTCTGCAGGTTGGCATACCCTGTGTTGTGCTTCTGTTCTGTTGCTTAGATATGACTTTTCGTTGTGGTTTTAGTTTGTCTTAAAAAGCATATAGGGAAGGTGTACTGTATGAAACTGTAATTGTGATGAATTATGTGGTTTGTATTGCTCCGTAGAACACTGATTGCTTGATAGGTCAGTGGGTTGTCCTAACGTTGTGTTATGAAGGTGTAATTATGTAGCTGGTGTAACATGCTGGTAGTGCAGTGCTCCCTCCTGCCAATAAATAAATAAATCAAGCTTAAAAGCAGGGGAGAGAAGGGCATTGGTGCTAGACACGTGCTGGTAGTAGACAAGTGTTTGGTGTCAGGCATATCTTCCAAGGAGAGGTTATATTTTCCCCAGGTGATACTGTGTCATTAGTTCAGATAAGAGTTAAAGGCATGTATGATAAGAAAATGTAATTTTTCTGAGCTTAATTCATCTCTCTAGGACACCTGAGCTTGCCAACACCTAACACTAGTGTTTCCTTGTTTCTTGCATTCATGAAAAGATGATGTACTTTTCAGAAACTGCTCCTCCTCTTTTTCCTTAGCTCTGACACAACTCCTCTCTTAAATGGATCAAGCCAGGACAGAATGTTTGAGACCATGGCTGTGGAGATTGAACAACTTCTGGGAAAGGTAACTCAAGTTACTGTGGTTTTACTTCAGCATCTAGGAAATATTGCAGTACAGGTTTCTGTGATGAACGTTAGGAAATACTAGTGTGGGTGTTAGACAAGGGTTTCTGAAGGTATGTGTCTGTCGTTAGAGCTAGCTCCTTCAACGTAGGCATTGTAACTTTCTTACAAGAATAAGCCATTTCATGTTTCTGAGGTGGGTTTTTTTTTTTCCCCTTCCTCTAGCTTACTGGAATAAATGACAAAATGGCAGAATACACAAATAGTGCAGGAGTCCCGTCCCTGAATGCTGCACTGATGCATACGTTACAGCGTCATAGAGACATATTGCAGGTAACAAACGCGTGTCGTCCTTGCTTTTATTTTGTTTGTTTGGAATAATTATTAGCAGTGCTGATATCACAGCATGCCTGAATGTCTTACCAGAAGATTTAAATGCCATCGATCCCATCTCATTTTTCTTTTCTCCAGGCACCCCAATCAGTGAACTCTGAGTTGAAAAAATAGCATTTCTTATGTCATATTAGTGACTAGTACCTAACTAAGAAAGAAGAGTAAAGCATGCTATCTTATGTAGGTGTCTTTTATATAGCAAAAGGGGAAAGGTACTGTAATGAATTATCTTGAGAGGTGGGCCCGTGCGAACCTCATGAAGTTCAACAAGGCCAAGTGCAAGGTCCTGCACAGGGGTCGGGGCAATCCCAAGCACAAATACAGGCTGGGCGGAGAATGGATTGAGAGCAGCCCTGAGGAGAAGGACTTGGGGGTGTTGGTTGATGAGAAGCTCAACATGGCCCGGCAAGGTGCACTCGCAGCCCAGAAAGCCAACCGTATCGTGGGCTGCACCAAAAGAAGCGTGGCCAGCAGGTCAAGGGAGGTGATTCTGCCCCTCTACTCTGCTCTCATGAGACCCCACCTGGAGTACTGCGCTCAGCTCTGGGGTCCCCAATATAAGAAGGACATGGACCTGTTGGAGCAAGTCCAGAGGAGGGCCACGAAGATGATCAGAGG